AAAATGTTACCAATGTTACAGTTTCAGGCTCATCCATGGTCAGGAATTCTCAGGCGAGACGCCCGCCCCGCCCTAAAAACTGGCCTCGGGGTGCGGCAGGGAGAAGTTATTCATTGGCTGACGCCGCAACGCCGACCCCTTGGGGAGGCAGCAAAAGTGAAAAGAAGAGTTTGCGGAACGCGCGCGATTTCAGGGGAATCTTGGGATTCCAGCTCCTTGGTATTTCGTCGGGGGTGGTTGGCAGATCGCGGCTCTGCTCTTGGGCTTCTCTGGGCTCTCCTGGCAGCATTTCTGAGGCCTCTTGGGAGCCGCGTTGAGGCCTCTCGGGGGCCTCGTGGGGGCCTCTGGGGGGGCCTCTTCGCGCCTCCTCACGTTTTTGTTCGGGGCCGAGTGCTCGAAATGTCCGTGTGTCTGGGCCTCCTCTTGGGGTTGTCCTGGGGCCCTCTTGGGCCGTCTTGGAGCCCTCTTGGGGGCCTCTTGGGTTATCTTGGGTCGATCTTGAAGGCTTCTTGGGCCGTTGTGGGCCTCGTGAAAGCCGAAGGGGCGAATGTGCTTGAAATAAACAGTTCCCCTAGGGAATACGACGATGTTTGCTTCTGGAGGGCCTCTTGGGACGCCACTTGGTGGCTCCCTGGGGCGTCTTGGGGTCCTCTTGGACCGTCTGCAGGCAATCTTGGGCGTCTTGGAGCGATCTTTCGGCGACTCGTAGCCCTCTTGGAGGCTATGGCCGCTCGCGAACCCATCTGTCCCCACGGGAAGGGGGGTAGAGGGATACGTAGCTCGTTCCCCCCGACGGGGACGAGGGGGATTTGGAAAGTGATCGTACTCTAAACTGGCCACGCCCAGATGGCTGGTGATATTCTGCCAATCTCAGGTGGTTGCCGGCTCCCGACCACATGGTCGTCAGGAGGCCATATCCACCGAGATTTGGGCCCAACATGAGTTAGTTGATGCTTGGAGGTAGTGGGTGCCCTCCTTCTTCCCCTTCACACAGGCAGGGCACATGTGTAGTTGCACCAGAATTTCAGATTGGTCGCGAGGGCCGCTTCATGTCTCGGTCGTCATATCCCCTCTGTTGCTAGTGCAATTGCCGTTATTCGTTGTCCTCCTCCTGTTGAAATTGCTCTGCTGTTTGTGATCCTCGTCCTCCTTCTCCGTCTCCTCTCACCCTGCCTCCCTCTCCTTCCTATTCTTCAGTCTCGGCTCACGCAGTGTGGGCGCATGGCAAGGCCAAGTGACATGATTTTGAGCGATGCCTCCACTCCATGGTGCCCTGGTGCGGTCCCCCGGCGTCCAGGGCATGAGGACGCTCCTCTGCGAAAAGGCTCACGACCTTGTGCGGGTCAGCACATGGTGCTGCAGCATGGCACACATACAGTCGGGGCGCTGAAAAAGGCCCCCTTTCCGTTTGGGAAGGGTCTCGGTGTTCCTTAGTTGTTTTGCAGCTTGCCTTCGGTTTTCCTTTGGTTTTTTCGATGGGAAATCGAAGCTTAACTTATGGAGAAAAGGGGCCTCGTTCCTTATTTAGGGTTCCTTAGGTCAACGCCCCGACTGTACCCCCGCCTCGGGCCTCGGCGGCGCGGGCGGCTTCTCCTGCGCGCGTCGCCGCCCGCCTGGAGTGCTGCCCGTAGCCCCTTCCCAGCCCTCCCGCCTGCTCACACCCGACCAGCCCAGTGAGGTCGCGCGGCCCTCCGCCCACATGCTCCGAGGGGCGGGGAGCCGCCCCCGGCCCCCACCAAGTGTGGCTTCTCGACGCCCACGTTCTCGTCGCAGGATGGAGGAGAACGTGGGCATCAAGGAGCCCATCCTCACTCCGGTCGATGGTGTCTACGTGTGGCCGTCGGCACTCCGCTAGTGGAGACCGCGCGCGGTGCCGCAGGTCGCGCGCGCGCCCGTGCGCGTGGCGAGGGGGGCGAGGGCGCTGCGGGGCGGGGGCGGGGGCGGGGGCCCCCGAGCCTCGCCCTCGCCCTTGCGGCACGGGGTCGAGCGCCAGAGCTGAGGCAGGGGCCCGTGCCCTCGAGGTGCAGTCAGCCCGCACAGTAAGTGTGGGCAGCCTTCCCAAGGGGGGATGGTTTCTCCGAAGGGCTTAGGCGACCCATCCTCCTCCCTCCTCCCTCCGCCTCCTCCTCCTCCTCCTCCTCTCCTCTCCTCCTCCCTCCTCCTCCTCTCCTCCTCCTCCTCCTTCCTCCTCCTCCTCCTCCTCCTCCTCCTCCTCCTCCTCCTCGGGTCGCCTACGGCCCTGGGGGAAACCGTGCACCCAAGGGTACCCTTGCATCCTTCCCCGTCGGACCGTCCTCGGCCGCTTTCGCTGGCCGCGCCCCGCTCGCAGAGTGTCGGCATGACCGTCCAAGGCCCTTGCATTATCATCGCGCGTCCTTAGGATACGGGTTGACTGTACCTGGCCCAACCTGAAGAGGCAGCTCCTCGTCTCTTCCACCGTGGTTCGCGCCCCAGGCGGGTGGGGCGGAGGCCCTATAGGCCGCACCGCGGCGCCTTCTTGGGAGCGTTGGACGCTCGCACTGCGCGGCGTACGGCGCAGACCCTGGCGAGGTCGGCCACGGTTGGGGCGTTCGTGGAGGAATGTGCCCAGATGCCTCGGATCCTGGAGGATTCCTCATCCGATGAGGGCGGCTGTGATGGCCATGGCGAATCCACGACTGGAGTCCCACCCGCTTCCAGACCCAGCATTCCTTGTCCACTGGCTCCCTACTCAGTGCCCTCATCGTGCAGCCGGCACGCCGCCACCAGGGCGATGGTCCTGTCGCGCACGTCGACGCTCCTCGTCCGCGCTGCCCTCCCGGGCCGCGCAGCCCGCCAGGCGCCGCGCCGCCCTCGGGTGCCGCTCCTCGTCGCCGCCGCGGGCGCCGGCCGTGGGCGGCGCGCCCGCGTGGCCGCGGGCCGCCCCCTCAGGGGCCCGCCCGGCGCCGTGGGCCTCCGAGGCCCTGGGCAAGAGTTGAGCCGGGCGGGTGGCACCGGGGGGTGACCCAGATTCTCAAGCAGTGGCGAAGCGTCTTGGCTCGCCTATAGCCCTACCAAACAATGCTCTAAGAACCTTTCTGTGGTTTCCACTAAGTGTTCTTAGAAGATGTCTGGCGGAGTCCTGTCTTGTTTTAGCATTTCGGGCTTATATGTTCTAAGAAGATTGTGTTTGTTCTTCGAACATCCTTGGGTTCTAAGAAGATTTCGTGGGAACGCTGGGACGACTGGTCCCTGCTCAATAGATTGGGCGGGGTAAAGAAAAGAGCGCTCAAAGGGCCCTCTAGGATCCCCTTTGGGAGCCAGCAGGGGCCATTACAGTCGGGGCGCTGAAGAAGGAACTTTCTTTTCGTTGGGTAGGGGCTCCGTGATCTTTAATTGTTTCACAGTTTGCCCCACGTTCTCCTTAGGTTTTCGAGGGGGAATCGAAGTTCAACTTCTGCAGAAAAGGGTTCTCGTTCCTTATTTAGGGTTCCTTAGGTCAGCGCCCCGACTGTACCGCCCGCCCGGCCACGGTCTGGAACTTTTGGACGGCGTGTCGCTCCGCCGGTTCTGACCCACCGCGCCTCGGCGCGGCGCGCTATCCGCTTCCCAGCCGCCCAGCGTCAGAGTCCCGAGTTTTCCCGAACGTCCCCCCGCCCCGCGGAGCGGAGCGGCATGCTATCCGCTTGCACGGCAGAGCATGTCGCCAGGACCGCAGCCACGACATGCTAAGCAGCAATTCCCGACCCCAGTGGGTCGCGGGAGAGGGGAAGAATACAGATTGCACGAGGGCTACAGAACAGCCCCAGCCTTGAAAGGCTACACTCATGCTCTTCGCGTTTGGACCTCCATTGCATGCTGGCCACGCTTGTCGGTGTCCCCCTCTAGCTCTATCGCGGGTTCAGCCAACTCTGCCTCGCCGCCGACGGGAAAAGTGTTTGGACCCTCCACCTTGGGACTTCGGCGAAAGGGCTCACGTTCTTGACCCACGCTCCTGCGGCCATCTTTCGGCTGCACAACGCTGCCCCGATGCAGCGAGGTCACCACTGAGTTCGGCAATAATGCCAAAGGGAATTGGCACGCCGAGCGCGGGAGAGCAGCCTCAGTAATGGTCACGCAAACGACTTTGTGAAGCCCGATGCTCGTCCAAGAGCGCGCCCGCGTGAACCCACGGCACCGGCTCCGCGGACCAGGAGGTTTTCCCAATGGCCCCACGCAGAGCGAAAGAAGGCGCCACGAGAAGGAACGACGTCTTCTGACTCCACGAAGCTGGGGAGTCTGACAACGCTTCCCACAACGGTGGGGAGGACGACGACGGTGATTCCACCAAGCAGAGAGGGCGAGTACAGCCCCGCGAACGTGGAGGTCGCTATCCGTCCCACGCTCGGCTACGTCAAGTTGGCCGCAGCTCGGCCAGAGATCAAAGCGTCTCCACGCCGCGTGCTACTTCGCACCGTTGAGGTTGCGATGCCGCAGTCCCTCGACAATCGTGAATACGTATGTTGCGTGGATGTGCGCTAGCACGGTTCGGCCACAGGCGGGCGCCTTATTGAGCGTGACAAGCCTAGGTGGGAGTCACGGGATCCACGGCCACCCAAAAATGGCAGATGGCTCCGAACCATTCATATTTTCATGTCGTCGGTTTTGTCAAATTCAAGGGATCGCGCGATCGACGATGTTAGTCGGCAGTGCAATGCCCCTTCTGTCCTCGCCATCAGCATCGTCATCGTCGTCATCGCCATCCCTTCTAGTCGCCCTCGCCCAGTTCTTTGTGTGTCGTATCATTGTTTGTTCCTGCTTCTTGCTCCTCATCCGGCTCTTTGCATGCACGCCTACGCTCATCCTCGTCCTCATCCTACTGCACACGTTACCCCCATCCCCAGCCCATGAATGATCGCACGCGCGGCGCCGCCATAGCCACGCCGCCGTCGCCACGACCACGACTAGCATCCCCCCGCTGGGAGGCGCCCGTGCCGACCAGCAGCAGGAGCGAGAGCCTGATCATCCACCTCGACGAGCTGCGCGTGCAGAGGCGAGCTCAGGCGGGCCCTCTGGGGGAGGGGGGCCCTGGCCAGGCCCCCGCTCGGCTCGCGGGCGGCGGCGGCGCGGGGACTGGCGACGACGACGACGACGACGACGACGACGACGACGACGACGGCGGCGACGACGACGACGACGACGACGACGACGACGACGACGACGAGGACGAGGACGACGACGACGACGACGACGACGACGACGAAGGGCGGTCCCCTTGTGCAATGGATTGCGTCTCCAGTGGAGAGACCGCCGGCAGGAGGCGGCCCCGGGCGGCCCGCCTCCGATAGTTAGCAGTTGCGGTGTTGATTCAGCCAGTGTTCATGCACTCCCCCTCGGGCAGGCCGTTCCGCTCCGATTCTCCTCGCCATTGCCCCTCCTCCTCCTCCTCCTCCTCCTCCTCCTCCTCCTCCTCCTCCTCCTCCTGCTGCGCTTCCGCCACGCGGACTGAATCCGTGGTTCCTCCTCCTCCTCCTCCTATCCTTATTCCTTGTTAGAATATACTCCAACTCCCCCCTCAGGCCGGCAGATAGGGGCCCCATCCGGGTGGTCCCATCCTAACTTGTAAAAAAACAATACAAAATCAACATGTTTCTCATTTTTTCCTCTCGACATGGACGTCCTGTCGTCCACGGCGATAATCCATTGCAAAAAATACCACAAAGAGCACACGCGCGCGTTCATGTCAGAATCCTACCGAACACCGTGTGTTTGCAAGCATTTCAACATAAAAACATCAAAAACCCAATGTTTTTCACAAAAATTCTACAAATTTCCTGCCCGGGCTCTCTTGCTGAAATCATAGGAAAACCATAGGAATCTTAAGAATTCTGTCAAATCCAGCGATTTCACGTCATCGCGCGGTGCACTCGCGATGCTCTGTCATGCACCCAGGCCGCGAATCCTGTGCAAAAAATACCACGCGGGCGACATGCGCGCGCGTCGCCGCGAGCGCATGCTCAAATCCTTCTAGAGTCGTCGCCGTCATTGGCACCGTCGCATGGACGTCCTGTCGTCCACGTCGCAAAATGCATGGCAGGAATGGGACGCGGCGCACACCCCGCGCCCGCCCATCCAATCCGTCCCATTCTAATCTGCAAAAGACAATACACAGTTTTTGTTTTTCTTGTCAACATGGTCGTGCTGTCGTCACGTCGCAAAATGCGTGGCAGGAATGGGACGCGGCGCACACCCCGCGCGAAGGGGTGACATGTCGATCTCGCCTCGGCGCCGCGCACCAACGCCTGCGGTGTACCGGGCCATTCTCGACTCGTCTGGCAATGCGTGCGCGGCATTCAACACGCGCTCGCCAGTTCCCGTCGGCAACCGCCATCGCGGCCGCATCAGCTGTACCAAACCGGCTGGCCGGTGTGACTTCGGCCCCCAGTTGTGCCAGCTTTGCTTTTTATGTTGTGGGAGGGCGGGTGGGACTGGGCATGCCATGCTTGACTCGCTCGAGCTGGCTAGCTTGACTCCTACTCCTACTCCTACTCCTGGGAAGCAGGTCCTCTCCAGGCTGGCAAGGGAGCTGCCCCCCAAAAGTGGTGGTTAATTTCCGCAGGCTTGAATTATGTTTCGTGCCCAGGCTTGACCTGGTCCCCACTGCTTAGCAGATCAAGACCCTCCCCATCATCATCCTCTTCATGCTGCGCTTCCGCCACGCGGACTGCATCCGTGGTTCCTCCTCTGGCTCCTCTTCCTCCTCTTCCTCCTCCCCCACCGTACACAGCCCCCCCCTATGATTGCGCACCGCACGACGGGACCACGTAGGGGATCAGGGTCCTCGAGAACATCCCAGTCGGCGGACGCCCACGGCGAATGACAGCCGCCTTTTGCCTTTTGGGAAAGCGCCTGTGGCTCAACGTTTGGGTCCAGAGCTTGTACAGCATATTGGACCATGCGATCCCCTAGCCGTTGTGGAAGCCCTTCGGGGAACACGTGGGGGAGAAAGAGGAGGATAATAAGAGGGAGGGGAAAAGAGGATGAGGAGATGGATGAGGAAACCTCTTGGGAGCTGCTTGGGCCATTCTTGGAGCCTCCTGGGGGCCTCTTGGAGGTCTCTTTGGGGAGCCTCCTTGGGCCTCTTGGAGGCCTTTGGGGTCTTCTTGGGGCTTCTATGGCCCCCGTACGACGTTCCTGTCCAATCTTACGCCGTCGGAAGCCGTCTTGGGAGTCTCTCCGGGCCGTCTTGGGGCCGTTTTGGAGCGCTCCAGGGTCGTCCTGACGGCCATCTTGGGCGTCTTGGAGGCTTCTTGTGCCGTCTTGCTGCCCTTTGGAGGCCGTCTTGGGATCCTCTTGGGCCGTCCTTGGGCCATCTTGGAGGCCTGTTGGGCGATCTTGGGGCAATCGTGGGGGCCGTCTTGGGCCGTTGGAAGGCAGTTTTGAAGGAAAGGCCAGCGTCCTTCAAAAACCTTAGGTGCATCCATGGTTTTGGCATCGTCGGGCCTTCCTGGAGGACCTCTCGGAGGCCTCTTGTGCCGTCTTAGGGGCCTCTTGGACGCCTCTTGGGTCGTCTTGGGCCATATTGGAGCCATCTTGGACCTTCTTGGTGGCTTCTCGGTCCGTCTTGGAACATGTTTGGACCATGTTGGGCACTCTTTGGGCTATCTTGGCCGTCCTGAATGCGTCTTGGAGGCATCTTGGAGGCCATCTTGAGCCCTCTAGGCCGTCCTGGAGGCGATTCGACCCACGAGAGATGCATTTGCGGCGGCTTTCAGGGTGGCCAGCGCGCTGGGCCGAAGCCCCAGTGGGAGCTTCAGAAAAACAACTCCTATGAAGTGTCGCACGCCAGGCACCCCGGTGATAAATCAACAGGGGGCGGCGAATATCTAATGGCCTTCGACCCATCCCGCCACCGTGCCTGGGATGTGGGTATGAAGAATATTGGATGTTCGTTGGGATCTCGTGGGAGGCCTCTCGGGGGCCTCTGGGAGGCAGTTTTGTAGCCTATTGGGGGCTGTTTGGGGGCCTCTTTTGGGCCTCTCGGGGGCCTTTTGGGTGCCTGCTGGGGGCCTCTTGGGCGGAAGTCTCGGATTTTCAGTTCGTGGTCCCTCTTTTGGGCCCCCTTTGGGGCCGCCTTGGGGCCGTGTTGGGCGCCTCTTGGGCTGTCTTGGGGCTGTCTTAGGCGGTTTTGGGCTGTCTTGGAGCCTTCTTGGAGGCCTCTTCGGCCGCCTTGGGGTTGTATTTGAAGCCGTTTGGGCCGTCTTGGAGCGTCGGAAAACAGAAAGAGCGAGAAGACCCAAATCCTTCAAACACTTCGGGCACGTCAGTAATGTGTGCCTCTTGGTGCCCTGTTGGGAGGCCTCTTGGGGCGTCTTGGGGCGATCCTTCGGCGTCTCGGGGCCCTCTTCTTGGACTTTCTTGAGGGCCTCGTGGGGCACTATTGGCCCGTCCTGGGGCTTCTTGGACCCGAAAAAGTCATGCGAGACGATGCCGGGAACCCCAAAGAACACGCGAGAAGCCCCGGGAGATTTGAGAGCGAGGGGCCCAGGTCTCTCCTTACAGAATCCCCCGGGATGGCGGAATGGGGCTCAGAGGATGAATCAAAGGACCTGAGGTCACGTCCACTCCGCGCCCAAGGGCAAGGTGGCGGATCTGCAGCACAATGGGGGGGGATGGGTGGGAAGGGTGGGATGGCAGATGTGGCGCGAGCGCACTTGGTTCGCCTTCTCCCCATCTCCTCCCCCCCTCCCAGTCATCCTTCCCAACCTCCACCCCCTGCGCTCCGGGCGGGAAGCTGACGGGGGGAGGTCCATGCATGGGTTCCCCTCCTCAGCCTCCTCCTTTTCCTCCTCCTCCTCTTCCTCCTCCGCCTCGTCCTGACTCAAGCTTGCGAAGGGCTGGCCCAAGCCTTGCACTATCGCCGCGCCCGCCAGGCGCGCCCCTCCAGACCCGCAGTTCAGTCTGGAGGTCCCCCGCTCTCAGCCATAAGCGGCAGTCGGCCAGAGAGCCGTGGCCGTGGTGGAGGTCGCAAGTATCTCTGTTGCCAGTCGGCTGGGTGCAAGGGGTGGACATGGGCCGACCCGTTCAAATTATGTGGTCAATGCGGTGCAGCCTTCATCGGGCGATGGTCGGATCCCACCACCTCGACTCAGTCATCGCTGGGCGACAGCACGAACGGCACTCCCAATAGATGGAGCAGGCGCTCCGGCAGCCCAGCGCTGAAGGGCCACCCTAAAGGAGCTGCAAATGTGCGAGCGCCCGAGGAACCATAACCACGTGATCCAGTTGCTGTGTGTACGCCGGCGGTCCAGTTCTGGAAGAAGATGGAAGGCGTCTTGGGCCCTCAGTACTTGCAGGCCGTGGGAGAGTTGAAAGCGGTCAAAACATCGACGTTGGCGGCGAAACCTTGGGACCAGCAGAGGAAGCCCTTGCACAACCAGCCGGAAGCCACCAAGAAGAAGTTGCAGAACGCCCAAGAGCGACTGTGACCAAAACCTGCGATGCGATGGTCAAGCTGGCCAAAGACTACGAGAAACAGTGCAAGCTCGTCTCTTACATGACGGCGGAGACTGAGCAGCTCGAGACCCAGCACAAGATGGCAGTGGAGCATCCCCTGAAGGGGCATGCGAACGACACCCCGCCGTCGCTGGAGCGGTACATCCAGAACCAGTTCCCGCCAGGGCTCGCCCCGTCCGCAGAGATGCAGACGGCCATCGCGCAGCTTTCGGCGAGGCTGCACCAGGAGTGGTCGGCGGCCCTGACCACCCCCGCCCAGGGCCAGCCACCTTTGCCAGAGAGTGGGCCCGAGGCGGCAACCGGTGTCGGTCCAGCGACGGCCCCGGCAGACGCTGCGGGGATGGTTGCGCCAGCCGAGGGCGCGGGCGCGGGCGCGGCAGCCCCGGCCGGCGCCAACGTCGACCTCAGCGCCGAGCAGATCGCGGGCTTCGACAGGGAGGTTGCGGACATAGAGGAGGAATTCGACGCATCTGCGCGGCGTGCCAAGGGCACCAAGCGCGCAGGCGAGGCGATCAACCAGGTGCTCAGCCTGAATGGCACGAAGCAG